TAATTATGTCTGGTTGAAATTCGTCTAGAAATTGTCCCCTAGAGTATCATCTTTAAAAAAAAATGTCTTTTTCAACACTAATTACGTATTATATGAACACAGCATGAATTTGACATAACGTAAATTAACACCGTAATAAAATTTGTAATTTTTTTAATGACAGGACCGTGTGTGGGATCACAGTCACCAATGATAGCCTAAAATTACTCGTAGGATCTAATACGATTATTAAATTAAAATCTCCTTAGAATATATTTTCGAGTGATAATTTATTCCGGAGTAAATTATTCTTAGAGAAGTCCTCTCGGGTTAAATTGATTTCGTGGAAATGTCTGGTGGGAAAAATAACTCCGGCCACCTTTCAGTAGAAATTAGTGAATTGAGAGAAGTATTATAAAAATCAGAATTTCCCTCTTGATTTCAGCAGTTGACAATTATAATTGTCACCGATTTATTCATGAATTGTTTTTGCTGTTATTGATGCTTTTTGCTGATATTGATGCTGTGGGCATGAGAATTTGGAAAATGTCGATAATACTTTGAAGTTAGTACGGGAGATTCCATTAGAACACTCGTGAATAGCCTATTTGAGGAAACTTTACAAGAGAGAATGGGTAGCAATTGAAAGCGGTATCAAAAGTCTGGATGCCTTACGCTGTATTGTTCTAGGGTATAAGCGTAGTTTAACTACAAATCTCTAGTGTTTGGGGGCCTTTGAGTGCCAGAGGAGTTAACAGTAACTCAGGAGAACCCTCAGCGATGCATCCAAGACTCTAAAATATACAAGACTAACATAAACCACGAGTGTCGTGTGAATTTCCGGGTAATACCACGAAAATTGGAGATACTAATGAATTAATGAGGTCATTCCAGAGAATCCAGTTGTTTATTCATGGAAGGAGAAAAATTTCTCGGAAAAATCAGGAGCTACTGAAACTTCTGGTTCTAGCAACATCTCGGACTGTATCAGTAGAATTTCTCATTATTTATCGTCAACTTTAGGAAATTTTTGTTTTCTTTAAAATGAGTTTGTTTTTCAAAAAAAAAATACTACATGTCAGTGGGAAATATTTAAAGAAATTTTTAAGAAATTTTCACGGATTTCCATTTTCCAGTAATTTTCGGGGAATATTCAGTGATTGCAAACTGATATCATTTTTCCCATTATTTTTGTTTATATTTTGAATTCATTTGGTCGCCAAAGAATCTCTGTTAAAAACTTTTTCGGGAATAGAAATTCAGAGTGTTAATGTTTATAGATTTACAAACCATTTTAATCTCGGTTGAATTTATTATTGTTTGGGGTGTATTCCTAATTTTTGTATGAATTATTATTTTTATTGAATTAATATAGTTGTTCCATTTACTGTTTACTCAAAATTACTCATTATTTTAAGAGTAATATAAATTGTTAATGTTGCTTAATTATGTGGATAATCGAGCTGACATTAATAACTTCCACGGATTATATCAGGACGTTAAAACTTTTTATTACAAAATTCCCTTAAAATTTCGACAAACATTCGAGACTTTAACGAACAATAGTTAACAGTGTAATAACATTTCCGGACAGGAGACGATAATTTAATTGTGTGAATGAGTAAATAGTCGTAAATTATTTACTGAGCATTCAATAGTTTTGTTTCTTGAAACTTCATATTCCCGGAATACCGTAAAACTCAATTGCATCATGGCAACTTGTATCCTCATATCCCCTTGCAAATGAGTTTATTTAGTGCACGACATTCGCCCGACGCTCGTATATAAACTTGTTAAAAACAAACTTTCATAAATAAAACAAAGTGCAACTAGTGAGTTTTTTTCTCCTAGTTTTTTCTTCTCGGTGCGGCCCTTTTTATGTCGTTAGGTGCTAATAAATTCATAAAGCAGTCTGTATGTGGAGTTTAACAGCGAGCGGTGTCTGACGTAAATAGTATTCAACTACTTTGGGAATGAGAAGTGGAGTAATGCCCTGTGCAATGCTCGGTGTCTATATATCGATCTGGTAAATATCTCCGATAGGATTGTCCCGGGGGACTTGGTGTGTCCACAACCGCATCGGATCTCCAATGCCCTCAGGGACTGCCTCCTTCACCTCATTGTCCAACTATTGAGCCTCCTAATTTATCGCAATTTATAGAATGGGGGGTATTGTATGGGGGAATTCACTTTAAGGTCATCTATGATGTTTGATTATTTTCCCGGTCCTGAGAGGGAATCACTGGGGCTCATTAAGGATTCTGAGGTCGGTGAGGGTCTCTGTGGAGTTTAGGGTGTGGCTTCCCTTTTACCACCAACTCCGGGGGCGCAGTCCGACATTTCAATAAGTATTGGCACTAGTTCCCCTCTGCTTCAATAAATTTATATCTTTTCTGTCGTATCATCACTGTTAAACAGTTCTTGAAATTTCAATCACACGATCTTTTGAATTTTCAGATATATGAGTTCGAATTCATTTTGAATTATAATTGATTTTTCGGTGAGAAGCTTGAATTTTCATTTCTATCGTGAAAATTCCACATGAGATGCCATTTAATTTTCAATAAATTAAAAACTCAGGGAAATTATTGCTGCACTTTTTAACAATTTCATGGTTTAAAAATTGAGAATTAGTAATATCCAAGAAATTAACTGATTTGTCAATAAAGCATTCTACAAAAATTTCGGTTCACTGTTTTACTTGAAATTTCAAGTGTAATTATCCAACAGTATTCTTGAAACTTCACGTAAACAAATCCTGGAATTTATGAAATATGTTTGATTTATTTTTTTGACACTGTATATTGATGATTTTATTTACCATAAATTTGTAAGGAATTTTCAATCGAAAAATTGCATGATTCCTACAAAATGAAATTTACACGCAATTGTTTCTAAAATCCCATTTTTTCAATCCTATTTTTCTTATTAATGAATTTGAAATGAATTGAAATAACAAATTAATTTATCCAAATTACCCTGCAGTAATGGTCTTTAAATTTCCATGAGTTTGACAGCAGGAATCAATAATGCATACAAAATCGTCGAAGATAAGTTGAAAAATCATCCAGACAGTGAAATAAAATCTTCTCTACACAGAGATTTGGGTATCAACTCGAAGGAATGGAATGCAATTCTAAAAAGTTTGCCCGAAGTAACAGTGAAAGTTACCTCAGGATTTGTTACCCCCAGATTTATCAGTGTGTACATGTTCGGAGGCTGGGTACGAGACTTAACCCACTGGGAGAAGTTCATTCCATTTTATTTGTTTCTATCGAACACGAGAGAAAGTTGAGAGTGCCTCCTATCCAGGATGGGAACCACGACCAGTCGTGGTTACGGTTCATTTTGCCGTACCCCATTCCCTCTTCGATAGTCTCAGTTTTACCGTTTTGTTTCCTCCCACCCGTCTCTTCTCCACATATTCGTCTTTTCCGGAGGTAAAAAAAATCCCATGAAAAGAGGGGGGGAGAGGAAAAAAAAAAGCCCCGAAAAATAGCCAATACACGCCCGCTCGAGACCATAAAAATCACGCTCTCCGGTTCGAGGATATTGGCTCTGCCTCTGGAGTACGTGTACTCGGGGCAGACCATTCTTTCGGGGTATTTTTCTCCTCTCGATTCCCTTTCATTTCCCCCCCCGGATTGGGGCCACAGGTTATTGGATAAAGATGATACGGAATTGAGGATATGAAACTCGTATGAATTAACCCAACCGCCTCGACTACGAGGGAGTACAATTTACCCGGGCTCTTTATTCCCCCAAATTAACAAAAATTCTCGTCTCATTTAGGGGGTGATACATTCTTACCCTCAGACAGTCACGTAACTGTCTGCACTTTCATTTCGCCGGATGGCATGCAGAACAAAATGATAACGATAACGACGACGTGAGTAATAGTCAGTGTAACTGCTAACTGCAATTTTTTTCATCGTTTTTTCATCACGAATTGTCGATTTCATTCACTTTTCCCGGTACTTAAATTTTTACCCCATGGGTAATATCAGTTTTTCAACAATTGGTTAATTGGGGTGTGGAGGTAGAGTGTCAAGTAATTACATGGTTAAAAATTTATGGAAATATCAAGCACAAAGTCTATCTTAATTTTCAATTATATGAGTTTGATCTGAATTTCCAATAAAAATATAAACATCACTAAATTTTTCATTAATCTTGAAAATTCAACGTAATACACAAGTTCATTTTGAATCCATTGAAATTTCATAGGAATTATTGAAAAATTACCAAAATATTTAAGAAATTAACTGATTCGTCAATACAGAATTGTTCATTCATATTGTTTTTGTTAACAATATCACGTTTTTTTTTGCATAAGGTGTGAATAATAATAAAAATTTCCGAATAATCCTCTGAAAAGCCTCAAGCCATCCCCTTTAAAATCGTAAGTTAAGGCTAATATTTTTCAGCGTATCAGAGCGAAATATCCAAACGAAAAAAAAAAAATCCCGCGGGATCGAACGAGCTCCAATAAAAACTTGATATTGTCCTCGTATTTGACACCATGAATAGTAAATTGCACTCAACCCTTGAGCGAAATGAATACCCTGAAATATCTCAGGTGTTGAATCATGAGACTTGGCGGAGTTTACGAAACGCGGATACGAAACAGTCATTTGCATTTCAAATTACCAATGGGAGTTTGTGTGTTACTCGGCATGTGTACCTGGACAAAGTCTCTCAAAGTTGACAGCAGGTTAATGCGTGTGGAGGTGGAACAATTCCCGACTCATCACCCGACCACATATATAGGTTATTACATATATTATCACATATATAGGTTAGGATGGTAGCACACGTCGCGTGTCGAGAAACCACCCCCTCGGAAAATGTCATTAATGACGTTATAAAGTTGTGATCGACTCCAGGGGGTTACGCTAAATGCCAACGTTCAGGGGTGATGCCTCCCCAAGGAGTATTATCGAATTTTCGCAACAGGATTTATCCCCTCATTTTCCATAAATTTCAATTCATCGCAAACCGAATAATTTTCATGTACTCACCTTGCCAACTCCTGTCATCTCCTTCACACCAATTCTCCGAAGAAATGCTGGTGGTGCAGGTGGTGGAGACTTGAGGAGAAGAGCTCCATAGCCATTTGGAAAAACCGGCTCCTCAGAGCCGACATTTTCATCCCCCGAACGTCGTCGACGGTGAGGACTTGAGGACAGATTCCATTTCTGTGCAGCTCTGCAACATGAATCATATTTTTAGTGCTAGTTAAAGCGACTGGTTCAAGGGAAGAATGAAATTTCAACTCAACCCATTAATCTATTTGACTCAAATTCAATTTGACTTGAATCAAGTCAAACTAGATCAAATTCAAGTTGAAACATCGACTCGCATTTACTAAACAAAATCAACTTGATTCACATCAATTTGAAGAATCAAGGTGAATTGAATTGACTGAAATTGAGTCGATATATGGACATGAGAAATCAAGTGGAATCCGCTATTAACAGAAAAAAATCTGGGATTCGAAGTTTAACAAGATTTTTTCAAATAATAATTAAACCAATAGAGAACTTTCGAGCACTTTGTCGGTGAATCAACATTAACCCCTTCATTTCCACTGGGAATTTTCCCCCATACTTTTTCCGCTGACAAAAAAATAAGAGACAATCCAAAGTAACTGAGAATGAATTCGGTCGGGCCGTATGAAGGTGGCCGGAGGGTGACTGGGTGACATACTCCGGTGGCACGAGGAATAGAGCAATGTTGGGGATGAGGTGGACCTGGTAATCAGCGCAGGTAATGTCCCGGAACCCGTGTGTTCCCAGGGCTTCGTGTTTAAAGGGAGAAATGCCGAGGGGGAAAGGGAAGGTTCGCCTCCAACTCCGGGCCAACCCACGGGCCTCGTTAACCCACGCGCTGTGAAATTGGAAATACCGTCGTGCGACTCGTCGCGTTGCGGTGAATGTGAGAGCATCCATTTCAGCTCATCCTCATACAGGAGGAAAAAAAATGAGAGTAGTTCAGTGAGGAAGATGTGTTGTGAAGGTTAATGGTTTTGAAAATACAACGAGTTTACTTTGATTCGGGGATTTTATGGCTTTGATTATCTCCTATTTTTTTTTCACCTGACAACACTTTTCCACTTCTTTCATACCTATAATCCAAAACTAGACAGTTACGGCATTATACTCCTTAAAATTCAAATATAAAAAAAAAATTGTGGTTTAAATAATCACCTTAAGGTCAGAACACATTAATAAAAACAAAATTTTACATTGAATTCCGGTAATTACAACCCACGTTGTGACAATTGTTGCCCTTTTCAGGGTCGTTAATTTAATCTATTAATTAATATTTACATAGAACAATGAAATGAATTAAAAATTGGATAGAACACATTCGGTTCATTTGTAGCAAAAATGATATTTTGCAATGTTTGCTAAACATAAAAGAAATTGATCAATGGGGATAAGTTTCGCTGAGTGAAAAGGGAATTTCAATCGTCCGGTTTAAATAATTGTCAGAGGTTGTTTCGGGGTCATGAGCGACAATTTCGTTACAATTCCGGTCTTTCCGGATTGTCAACCTCCAAGGACACTATTACGAAATCGTAGAGGGGGTGACCCACTCACGCTCCGTTAATTCTTGTTTCAACCTAGAAGTCGGTGTATCGTCCACCCCCTGGTGATATCACCCGCGAAACTATTCGAGACTTGTATTACTCCTTCGTGAATGATTTTAATTCACCTCATATTCGGGCCCATCATGAACCCCACGGGGGGGTAGGTGGGTGGTTGGGGGGGGGGCGTGTCGCCTGGGATAAAGAAAAGCGAAACAGCGAATGAAATTGCACGGAAGTGGAGGCGCGTGAGGCATCCATCACTATAGGAACGTCGGTGAAACTCGTGGAATTCCCCCGGGGCCTCGGCTCGTCTTTACGCCAGTGAACGAGAGAAGAAAAAAAGAAGATTTTCCAAGGAAATGAAAATAAAAAGAGGATGAAGAAAAGCCCGCTCTAACTCAAAATCCATAGCTTGAATTATTGAGACGCTGCAGGATCTCGAGTCGGTTACCTTGGTACCGAGATAACACGCATTTACTCATACAGAGACAACTCAACTCTTTTGAGGAGATAAAAATAGGGGATAAGTGGAGACGGAGTGACGGGGAAGGGAACTCCTCTTGAATAAAAAGTTTTCGAATAATTACGCAATTTGTTTGGTTGGCAGGACTTTTTCGAGGCTTAGCAGATCGTTTTGCGAATTTTGATAGTGAAAGGGAGATAATAAACACGAGGGGGGGCACAGGTGCGTGTCGTGCACACGCAATCTTTATGTCAATCAGGGCTAACAGATGCGCACAAAATCGTGTGTGTCTTCTTGGCCTTAGCAACCCCTCTAGTTACGTGAGGGATATTCCAGGGCTTCCGAGTTGAGGGAACAATAGCCCCACATCTTGCTCAGCTATTTTTCCGGCGGACGTGTGTCAATGATATCAACTTTATTTTTCCGACGAGTAAACACCGAAATTTATGGTGAAAAAAGTTTTTGTACCGGTCTTATCTTTCATTAACTGCATAATAGAGACTGGTAAAGAACGATAAACGAGACCGAATGATGGAAAATTTCAAAATTATAATGGAGTTCTGAATTCGAATTAACCGCCTCAGACAACTGCACCAATGACAAATAAGCGTGACAGAGTGTAGAAATATCGATAGTCTCAATGTTCCTAGTCTAAAAAAGACAAACATCAAGACTATCAATATCTCGAAAGTCTGTCACGCTTATTCCTCATTGGTTCAGTCGTCTGAGGCGTCTAATTTTAATTTGGAACTCATTTAAGTTAACAATTTTTAATGACGATTTTTATAATTACAGCGTGGTGTAGCGCGCGTTTGTTCTCGTTGTCTCTTTATAATAGAAGAATAGGATAGGATGATTCAGCGCACACTTGGAAAATTTACATTTCAATTTTCAAAATTGAAATCTAATGCAGAGTTGCATTATCGAAAATTCGGTAGCATTAAAATAACAGAAATAACCCTTGCGTAAATAACACAAACGAAAAAAACGAAAAAAACGTACAAAAAAATAGTCAATAAAATAACTATCCAAAAAAATGTACGAAATACGCAAAACACAAGCCTAAATAGCAGAAGTGACAATAACACTGGGAAAAAAAAGACAATGATGGAATATTTTGAAGATTTTGAGGGTGTACACATTTTCATATAATCTGAATCAATCATCAATGGATTGCATGAAAATAATATTTGAAATATATTCAATTGCATTCATTTTCTTTCTTTCAAAAGTTTCTTTCGACTAAGTTTTTTTAGTTTGAGTTTTTTTGTGTTTTTCTGCTTTCGTTTCATTTTCGTTTTAGTTTGATTTTTGTGTGTCTATTTTTACTACTGATGTTATTTCTGCTAATGCTATTATTGCAATTGATTTTTTCGCGTGTCTGTTTCGTGCTTTTTTTTAAGTGTAGCCGAAAGTTTAGATGACGTTTCGACAGAAATATCTAAGAATGTCAAATGATTTCTTATTTCGTTTAAAACAATTGAAATTGTTATGTTTTACGGTGGCATGAATATTCAGAGGAAAAATAGCGAGTGTTGATGAATAGGCCTTTGAAAAACGAGCGACAAATTGAACACACACTCGGTAAGAAATAACCAGGAGGTCTCAGCTGTTGAGGTGGCTTGGGCTCTGATTGAATTGCTCTCTCGGCTCTTCTATTTTGCGACCAATACGAATGTTCGGGTCTGGGATGTTTCGTATTAATGCGGAGAGAAAAGAAAGGGAGGAGAGGAAAAAAAGGCGTCGAAGAGTGGATGGGGTGATGTATTGGGCACTCGGTACGATGAAAAACTTGCGCATTTATCGGTATGACACGGCAACACAACAAAGATCGAGAGAGACCGAGTGCAGAGGGGCCAATTCACCAGCACTAACCGTGAAATATGGTTATGCGCCTTTGTACAAGATACAGTACCGATCCTAGGTGACGAGTGATCGGCTTTATTTCGGCAATTTACGAGGGTTATATTTTTATTTTCACTTCAAATCAATCTCAAAACACTAAAAAATTTGAAAGGCGACCTGAATCAAGTCGATAAATCGGTATCAATCAAATGGCATTCAAATCGGAAATGAATCGAACATTTTGAAAAACAGGTAGAGCTTGTGAGCATATGACATGTCCTTGAGTGATTTTTTCAATCTTTCATCGCTATCAATAAATTGATGGTATGCTTACGAACGGCTAGAGAAAATTCTCAAATCTTTGTACATCTCTCATTCCTTGAAAAGTCACACTTTCAACTTCAAATTTTGCATTCACGGTGTGTCGAATTGGAAAATTTGTTGAAAATTTCTTATGATGAAATATGTGACTCGGAAATGTCCTTTATTGCTATATTGTGTTGAAGAAAAAGTAAATTTTAACGATCTCGAATACTCAGTTTGGAGGAGTGTCTATATTTTAATTGATAGACCCTATCTTATAGGGCTTATTAATTAGAATATTTGGAGATGTAAAAAATTGAAATCGGTTGAATAGTTCTCGAGATATTTCAGAAAGTCCATTTTAAGCAAAGTTGAATATTTCATGAATTAATTATCCAATTTAGCCGTTCTTCAATCCTAAATATTTTTCATTGGCAGGGGGAAAATTTGTGATGGATTTTCAGATAATGCGGCAATTTTTCGAGACTCTAATAAGCTAACAACATTTTGTTAAAAAAGCAGAAGAACTTAATTATCTCATGAACTAATAATCCCAGTCAGTCCTTCTTCAATACCAAATATTTCATTGCCAAGCGAAAACTTCATGCCAAATTTCAAGTTGATGAATTAATTATTCTTAGCAGCGTTACCCGCCTAACGATTTTTTTTTCATAAGCAGAGAAATTGGATTATTTGGAAAACTCAGGATAGATGGTTATAAATATTTTGAAAAAATGTCGGTCGGTTGAGTGTTGGTCGAGATATTCCCGAAAAAGTGTAAACAAATAACAAACAACTTTTTTTCAGAAACTACTTGACCGATGCACATCAACAAGAGTTAATCTTTTTAAAATGAATTTTTTCGTTCGTTCATTAATTTTTTGAAAAGGTGACCACTGGCATGGTACCCAAACTTCGTACGCTTACCTTTCAGACCATTTTTCATAATTTCCGATCAAAATAACAAAAAGAAAAATCGACCGATTACAAAATTGTCATTCG